TAAATGTATCTTTGTTAAGTCCTTTTAAGCGTTAATTCGCCCCTTTTAATTACATACTTATTAAAATAAATGAGGTAATTTCCTCAAGATTGATCTTTATCGTTAATTGGCATAAACTTTACCATCTGCTCACTATTTTGGACTGCGGTTATTTATAAATCAGAGACAGAGTTCCAGTCGAAACTCACAGAACCTCCAAGTAGCCCTTGAGGGGTTGTTAATCAAAAATCGGATCATATGCTTTGAGTATTAACGTAATTATTCATTGGTATTTATCAGATTTGTATTATGCAAATCACCTTTAATCCATAAATTAGGAATTTAAGGCGGAAATGGTTTTTTTATGGGCGTGTTTGCACAGCTTCTTAGAACTCTACCGCCAGAACGTGTCATTAAATTTTGTTCCAAATTTGATTGCCCTCGCTTATTAATTGAATTATTTAAGCCAAATGTACAAGGTGTAGTTTTGAATTACAAATGCACACACTGGAGTGCGTTCAATCTTAGGTTGTCACTTGAGAGCTTAGATAAAAATCGAGTTTCTTTTCAATGGACTGCCCGCTGCGAGTTGTGAATGGATATAAATGCCAGATAAGGGTTGTTTTACATTTATTTCCCATCTGACAAGGCTTATTAGTCGCACTTTTAAAAATATGCTTTTTTTATTTATTAGAGACGTGATAAACTTGGATTTTCGACAGGGAGTTTGCTACTAATGAAGGAAATTTTACGTCCACCTATTAATTTTCAAAGTTTAATAAGCCGGCATGTGGAGCGGCTAAGTTTTCCTGCATGGATAGAATACGAAATTCGATGACGTGAACGAGTTGAAAATGAAACGGTTAGTGAGGTGACGGCGTGTCAAGTTTTCGCGACGGTAAGTTGACGGGGAACGAACAGTTCTTGTAGAAATTAGGAAATGACGCCGCCTTAATAAATGGAAGTGAACGGGATGACTTTATGCTGCACTTAACATCCGGAAATTTGTCAAAGAAGTGGATTTTCCTAACTGGAATAAATAAAATATGCAAAATCGTGTCTTCGAATTCCTTTTTTTAGAAAACTACCTAGATAAATTCTTTGTAATTCAATTAAGGTAAAGATGTTTTGGCTAACAATAAATTTAAATTGTTAAAAAGAAAAAAAAACTCATTATTTTACAACAAAAACTCTTGCATTCAGAACTATTCTTACTTTAACAAAATTATCTACAAATTTAGTTAGATTGCTAAATAATAAGATCTATAACATTGTTAAACTTTTTTTCAAAAAGTTTTGTAAACTGCAAACATTTTATAAACAAAATTTCCAACAAATCTTGGTAAGTTTATACAGAGGGTACGTAAAAGGTGTTCTCATTGCAATGATGTTCCTGAGAATGTTGTCAATGCTAATTTTTAGTTTGCTCTAAAAAAAATGGTTTTAATCAATATTTTCCTACGACCATATACGAAACTAGATCATAACGCACAATTACATATGCGCGAAAATTGGCAATATCGTAAAAAACTTGTGCGATTTGTTTTCGCACTGTGTGTTAGAAATCTAACGCATACTTCACACTCGAATGTTTTGTATTTTTTCATTTAACGTATTTTTTTTTGTATCCATTATAAAAAATAAATCGTTATTCAACGTATATTTGTATCCATTATAAAAAAAATAATCGTTATGAAAAAAATATGTTCGTAAGAAAAAAATTATTTATGGTCGTAGGAAAAATAGTGTACAAAACCTGCAGGAAAGTGTCTAACGCACTCGCGGTATTGCCTGCACTCGGCTAACGCCTCGTGCGCAACTTTCCCGCTTGTGCGTTATTTATCACTTTCCGTGCTTGTTATGTAATATACTACTTCCGCACCACAGGTGTTTAAAAATTGGTAAGTTTCACAGAAAACTGACAAGCAGGTATTGATTTTACTATTCAAGACAAACGTTTGTGAAATTTTACAACAATTTTGATATAGGTATGTTTTTTAATAAACATCGTAATTAATTAATTATACATAGGTATACATATAGGTATATTCTCAACTATTATTAAACAATTTCATATTTCATAATATAAATAATAATAATAACATCTTTACTGAGACAAAAAAAGAAAAGTATAGTATATTACATAAAATAATTCAAAGTAGAGATTTTCATAAAGGAGGCGTCCTCCGAGTCTAGAAAGATGACAAATGTGTTGGACACTTTCCGGTGAGTTTTGTACACTATGTTTCCCATGTCCATAAAGATATTATGATTAATTTCTACAAATTTGTATTAATTGTAAATATGTTACTTTGACAATTATTATTAAAAATTAATTGACTAATTAATCATATTTAACATCATTATCCATTGATGATTTGTGGAAATAATTCGATTTTAAACGCAATTTCACCTAAAAACGCCATACATATTATAGTACTGTAAAAAAGTAACGAAGCCTCCTAAACAGTTGTAAAAATTAAAAATCTATAAGAAACACCTTTGTTATAATAATAAACGAATAAATGATATTGGCAACTTTCGTGGGTACTTATTGAACTGTCATAAATATCAGAGATCAATTATATTAAAGAAAAATTTGGACAATATAATATTATAAAAAACGCCCCAAGTCATAATTTCATTACTTTTAAAGATATTATAATACTTTTTTGAACAAAGCTGAACAGTTTTTTGTTATCAATCGTTTGCTTGTGTAGATACAATGAATAAAAATGTTTATTCTATTCTTCCCACAGCCTATTTAATTTAATTTTGGAATTGCCTAAAATCAAAAGTTAGTGATAAATATTAGCAAGTGAGCTTGTTGAAAGACAATTTAATGAAGAATCCAAAAATATTAAGATATACAGGGTGTTACATTTAAAAAACTAAAATTAATGTCACTTCCGGTGAAACAAGAAGCAGCATCATTGATTGAGCATCTATGCCAAACACTAGATGACAAGAAACTGTTCAATTTTGCTCCAAGAAGTATTGTCATATTGAAAATAATAGAGTTATTGCTTGGGGCGTTTTTTATAACACAGCCTGTATAAATCAAAAATAAAGAAAAAAATACCTAACTTTTTATCTTTCTTATTCATAGTCATTCAGATCACTTGGTCTACAAAAATTTGTAAAGTATGACATTTCAACTTCATTTAACAATTGATATGAGAAATGACAGTTCAGGTTGAGAGATGGTCACTTCTCAACCCGAAAACTGATAAGGAACCAACCTGAACTGTCATATGTCATATATTGTATGTTTTACTTTATTAAATAGTATACATAGAAACCTTGGTGGTCGTTGGTTCATCCTACCTCGGCTTATTGCTCCTTGGTAATGAAGCACCTCTCACCTCGGTATGTAACCTACTAATTACCTAACAAATTGCCACATTTTATTTTTTTCAAAATTTTACGTTTCAATTGTAGAATAAGATTAGCGCCCATTGCTTTGATGCCTTGCTAAATGTCAAATACTACAAATTCGCTGATCTTGCCTGAAGTCGTTTTGAAACTATAAAAAGATAAACCTGTCAGCAATACATATTGCAGCTGCCATTAAGCTTGAAATAAGTATTCTTTTCTACACACGTACCTGCTTAATTATCGCCTTAAACCGTTTTTATATCATAAATGATGCTTTTACAAAGGTTAATTAAATTCTTTGCTGAAAAAGTGTTAGAGCCTGAATTCCCCAACGCAACTCAACACATCCTTGAGTAAAATTGAAAATTTCTTTTATTTTTCGTAAAGTTTTATGTAATGAGAGTGGTAGCAAACGGCGAGTGATTAATCTGCGACACGGGGTGCAGTGTATAAGTGACATTTAAAACACGACAGGAGCCACACACCGACGTTGACTGAAACACTGCCATCACTCAAGATAATGCCCCTCATTTATCATCTTTGGAACTCAAGGGTCGCTCCATATTTATGCGTCGATCGCGGTTTTTTATTCGGCGATAATGTCCGGGAAAAATAGCCAAAGGCCATTGATTTTGACAAATTCGAAAAACTCTGAAAATCAAGCACGCATTTCGTAATTTATTTTCTAATATTGCGATTGATTTAATTTCATTACCACCACTACTTGTAAGGTGCTTATTTTGCGGTAATCAATCAATTTTATAATCAATCAAATTTTCGACAGCCACCTGTGTTTTCCAAATAATTTACCAACATTAGTACTTATAAGGGATGAAACGGTTTAACTATACCTTAATAGCCTGTTTTTTGCTCAAGTAACCTAATCATTATAGGCCATCGAACACTTTTATAATCGATTATGGGTCTACCTGCTTTCCACGTCTACCTTCTGCCTTACCGAAGTGACAGAGACGACTTAATCCTTGTCTTGAAGTGCATTAATTGAAGCAGATCTGCTTTTGTTTTGCAGCTATACAGGGTGCGCCAGAACTCACTCCCCAGAGAAAAATGTCATGTAAGGTAATATACCAGGAACATAAAAAAAATGTTTAAAAAATTCTATTTATAAAATTTTCGAAGTTATGAAGGTTTAAATTTTGCATTTTGACTATTTATTTCTGTTGGAAAAATAATTTTCCAAGTTTTTTTGCTACAGGCTATTAGAAGAGGAAACAAGGAAGCTGTATCCTAAATTGTAATTCCGTTTAATGTTATTGGTGGCTTTTATTGGCAAAATTTTAGTACCTTTACTAAATAATTATAAAAAACATATACAAGATCATCAGTATTATTAAATAGACATAAAAAATGTCAAATGTCAAAAAATAAATGTCAAAATTTTTTGACACATAGAATTTTTTAAACATTTCTTATCCTACTTAAAATCGCCTTCACTCAAATTATTATTTTAATATTTCAGAAAAAAATACAAATAAGCAAAAATATTTTTTTACTGTAAAGTTTAGAGCACCATTATTGTGAGTCTCAAAATTTTACAGCTTGTTGCTTTTATGATATTTTGTCGTCCAATGTTCGTCATGCATGCAAAATGAGTTTCGCAATTCTTTTCATCGCCAACTTACCGTCCCGATTTGGTGATAATCATCTCCGTTCCTAATTCGTTGAACTTTTCCCAGAGATCTTTTGTTTCTAAATGACAAGTAACTGTTCGAAGCTCTTCACTCGTCCACCGTTCTTGCAAAAGTGGATTTCTCGCAGCCGCAGGTGATCTACGACCATTCGCAATAGAATGTGATGGCACCCCTGATTCCGACGTGGAAGACACATCAACCGGTGATTCACGACCACTTTCAATGTCCGGACTAACTAACGTACAATCTAAACCAACGGGTTCCGGAGTTGAAGGTACTGACGAGGCGGAGGACTCGACAAATTTTTCTAGAACATAAAGAAACCAACTTATATGACCATAAAAAGCTTTCAGTCGTCGTAGATGTTAAACTATCAAACGATTTCATCTATTTAATTAGTTAACTGACATTCACACATGGTCGAGGTAAAAAATAAAGCCATTAAAAGAGCTTAATGATTACTATTAAAATATCCATAAAAGTCGGAAGTATTTTCTATAACGCAACCCTTTGCATGGAAATAAAGCCTTACGAACATAAATCGTCGTCTTAGCTGGGAAAAAAACAACTTATAATTTTGTCGTGCCGGCGAATGGTAACATATGCGAGAAAAATTAAAAGTTACTTTATTTGGAAGCACATGAAATACTGAAAAGTGGCACGTAAGGGAATTACTTTTCACGTTATGTGTGGGCATTTCCGGAACCAAAATTGCCAGCAAATATACAGGCTGTTCCAGCTAAACCCCACATTAAAAGTGTTGCGAATTTTGACATTGGATTGCAACAGCAAGAATCAATAATGGAGAATCAAAGTTACTCAAATTTAGATTAAAATGCAATTAATTTGTATTTACGAAAAGAATAACATAATTGTGAATAAAAACTTGTTTAGTCAGTGAGAAATATTTCCATGACAAACTATACGAAAAAACTATAGATAGTAGTGAATTTCTCGCTTTGTAATAAAAGTCAAGACTTGATACAGATCGATGTAGAATTAAATTTTCGCCCATTTAGTTTTTAGTAAAGAAAAAATTTAAGCCGTTTATTTGAAAAATTCAGTTATGGGTATTTGAAGTTTCCCAAACATAACCTTAAATTTGAAGATTTGTTAATTTTTTTTTGACTACTAGCTGTAAAAGATACTATTATTTAGTTTATTGAGAGATTGTGAAGTTGTTTTTTTCTCCTAGTAGTCAATAATCATTTTCATTATAGACGAAGGGCTATAATGTATTAGAGGTGGGTAAATGCCGATGTTGGAGGGTATTACATGATACAAATATGTATTTCTAGAATATTATTATTGAAAACTATTATCATCGCAAGTACTAACGGAAGTATTTCTAGATGAAAGTAATTCAAAATTAAATAAAAACATCAAAATGACCACAACTCTAATACTTCTGTTTATGTCAAAACTGTCAAAACAACAAATTATTTCTTGTTAAAATACAATCGATAGTGGGGCAAATTTTAACACTTTTTCTCTTTTATTTGCAGTCTCTTTGTTATTTTAACAAATATTTCATATAACCTCATTTACAATAAAAGGAGAATAATACTTCCAGTTTAAGTTTTATCGTTGTATTTCTGGGTAATAAATATGCTAGTAGTAAAAAAAATATTATATAAAACACAGTAGAGAAGATTTTTATAGCCTCGAATTTATTATTTCCCTTGATGCTGTGCATAAATAGCTTAGCTATAAAAAAAATCTCTTTTTTTCTACCTTGTGATATAATACACTCATTTAATTTTAAATAATTAAAAATGGCAAAGTTATCGATTTTACAAGAAGGTGCAAATCTAAAGAATTTCAAAAAAGTCTGAATATTTGAAAAACTGTTATTAGTTAGGTATAGAAAAGAGTGATAAAAAACTCCCTCTAATTCAAACACCCTGTGTAATCTAAATTCTAAATAAATGTTGATTATTGGAAATAATGAAACCTTTTGTTGTGCGCATTGGTTCGGCATTGTGTAGTTAATTGCAGTATGAATCGCAGTTGGAAAGACTTGGTGTTATTATTATAAAAGGCAGCAATTTTGTCATCACTCTCATCAAGGCAAAATACATAGAACGAGCGGAAGCAGAGAAAGGTCCAACCACCTAATGTTCACAACAACAATGGTTCCAACGATAATCGCGATGAGATGTTATCAGAAGATAAGAGGATCATGCATGTAATGACACTGTAAATTATATCCAACTTAATGCTCACTGCTTACAAAAACCCACAATTACAGAATGTTTGCCATGCGGCACCTTTGCGCCAGTTTTGCTAAATTCTCTTATTATATTTTAGTTTAAGTACAAAGAGTAATTAGAAAAATTTGAGTGCGGATAATGTCTTCACGGTATGAAACTTTTAACGTTTAGTTCATATGACAACTGATATAATTAGCGGAAACATTATACGAAGCAGACAAAGTTGGTAACAAAGTAATTAAGATATTATAAAAAATATTCTAGAGCTTGTAGATGTAAGACAAGAAGACACAATGTTCATCTTTAATTTTTTTATTTTTAGCCAATTTATACAGGGTGTGTCAGAACTCGGGCCCTAGAGAAAAATTTCAAGTAAGCTAAGATACCCGGACAATAGAAAAAATGTTCAAAAAATTTTGTCAATTATTTTTTGACATTTGACATTTATTTATATCTATTTAATGATACTGGTCTTGTATATACGTTTTTTTTATAATTATTTAGTAAAGGTACAAAAATGTTGTCAATAAAAGCCACAAATAACATTAAACAGAGTTAAATTGAGGATACAGCTTTCTTCTAATAGCCTGTAGCAAAAAAACTTGGAAAATTAGTTTTCCAACAGAAATAAAGTGAAATAAAGAGTCAAAGTGCAAAATTTAAATTCTCATAAATTCGAAATTGTTATAGATAATTTTTTTTAACATTTTTACCATATTTCTTGAATCTTACCTTACAATAGCATTTTTCTCTGGGGTGCAAATTTTGGCGTACTCTGTATACCTACAGTTATCAAACACGAAATAGTCCTACACTACAGGTATACTTAATAATAACAACTGTGTTAATGTCTTTAAGTGAAAATAAAAATACCAGTATAGGTAATGAGCATCTTTCGATTAATTATCTGCTGTAAGAACTTGTTTGAAACTATTTTTCTCTTGCTATACATTCAAGCGGCAATTAGCAAGTCTCAAAGTCAACTGCAATTACCATTTGTAGTTAATAGAATATACAGTAAGTAGATAAGTAATGTAATTGCAGCTTTAATGAAGTTATTTTAGGTTTGATAAAAATTTCTACAAATATGTGTACATACTCGTACTTCCTTACGAACTAAAAAAAAATTAAAATAAAAATAAACATAAACTACCGAGCAGCTCACAAAATATAAAATACCTTTTACAACAATATAAATATATAATAAAACTGATCTTGTTTTGAGCGTATCAGTTAGTTACAGAATAAAATATACACTAGGTGAAAAAAAGTATAGAACTAAAAGAAATTTAAAGTGGTATAAAACTTGTAATTGTGTTTTGAGAATAAAATTTTGTTCGTTTTTAAGTTATGCGATTTTTTCTGTCAAAATGGTAACTTATATAAAAATTGTTTTCGATAAAAATTGAATAAAATATAGATTATTGCAAGTAATCTTTAAATCATAGTCTTTGTAAAAAAAAGTTTTATACTTAGTACATTGCCATTTAAAAAAAATAAAAATTAAATTAAATTATACAGAACTCAAAAAGAAATGAAAATTACTAAATATTTTATTTTTGATAAAACGTCATAAAAATTAAGATCTTAAGCCAAAAACGTTTGGTTTTATACTTTTTATTCATCCTGTATACAGCGTGCGCCAGAACTCGCGCCCCAGAGAAAAATGCCATCCATGCAAGGTAAGATACCAGGAACATGAGAAAAATGTTAAAAAAAAATATCTATAAAAATTTAGAAGTTAAATTTTGCACTTTGACTATTCATTTCTGTTGGAAAAATAATTTTCCAAGTTTTTTTGCTACAGGCATTTAGAAGAGGAAACAAGGAAACTGTATTTGAAATTGTGACTCTGTTTAATGTTATTTGTGGCTTTTATAGACATTTTTTTTTACTTTTACTAAATAATTATAAAAAAGAACATATACAAGATCATCAGTATCATTAATTAATAGACATAAAAAATGTCAAATATCAAAAAATAAATGTCAACATTTTTTGACAGATCGAATTTTTTAAACATTTTTTTCATATTCCTGGTATCTTATCTTACTTGAAATTTTTCTCTGAGGCGCGAGTTTTGGCACAAGTTTTGGCACACCCTGTATAGTCTCTAACAGATTTAAAATATGAAATCTTCTAAATACCTTATGCTTATTGTAACTAACCCATAAAATCGGGATAGAGAACCGGCGTTTTTGGAAGTGTAAAAACCATAACTATAATTTTTAAAATTAGTTGAATTTAACTGCTAATTTAGATTTAACTAATATCTACAAAACTAAAAAAATTGAAGCTGGTTTCAGAAAAACTGTATAGAGTCCAACGATCAATAATGCAAAAAGTGGCATCAGAATACGGAAACTTTTAAGTGAAAAAAAAATAAAAAGGAAAAAAAAGAAACAATGCCTATTGCCTAGCCATCTTTCCCGAATAGAAAAGACGACCAAAGATACTTATGTATAAATATGTTTTGTTTTTTGTTAATGTGTTAAAATATAATGAATGTTTCTGTTTTTAATTCTATTAATTCTTTAATTGAAATTGCACAATAAATACCACTTTTTTGAACTCGTATTGTGCTATTATTTAATAAAATTAATTAAATAAAAAAAAACAACAGAAACATTCCAAGTTTTTTAAATTGTCATTAAGATGTTGGCGTTTAGATTTGGAATACTAGCACTGAAAATAGAGATGTATTAGAATAAAAGTGGTTGACGACAGTTCGCATTATGTGTCATTCTCTACACCATTTTGCAACCAACTAAATTGGTTATAACAAACTTAAATAGTGTTTAAAATTGTTCCATTCACGGTGAACAATGGCCGATTATAATATAATAGTTCTGGGCTTACAATAGGTGCCTACCGTATTGATTAATACATTATAAAATAATTGACCTAGAAGTATTCTAAAATATAATACAGTATTTCTTTTCTTTGAAACAAATACCTCTAAATTTGTTTATTGATAAACGATGAGGTGTCCAATCTCCTGTCAGTCTAATTTTTTATGGGCAAGTCAAGAGAATAAAAAATAATGGTGTTAATAGAAACCTGTGCAAAATCAACATCGTGGACAGTTTTCCCA